GTTTTGACATTGGTATCACCTGACTTTACTGGGTGCTGACCATATTGGATATAGATGCATTCAAGTAACTTGATAATATAAGATCCTGTTTGTTTTCCGATGGTGCTTTGCATGGGATCACCACTTACTAAAATTGTCATGGTATTGTGTGTTGGGTTTTACAGCCCATGATGAGTTGTCCTAAGTCTAATAGGAATTATAATCTTAGAGGATAAGATTGTTTACCGAATTGAAATTGTTTTCTGAATTGGAGTCGTTTTCCCAATTTAAATTGTTTACCCAATTGAAGTTGTTTTCCCAATTTGAGTTGTTTTCCCAATTGAAGTTGTTTAGCCAATTGAAGTTGTTTTCACAACTGGGGTTGGTTTCTCAATTGGAGAAGGATTCATAAATAGATTACAATTAGGATTAGTAATTCTTATTGAAGACCCTTATTATGTCTAAGGGGCTATTGCACTAGTTTTTAATTGGAGCAAAACAATATGTCAAGGAGTTAGAGTGAGAGAATATTGTGAGGGCGAAGTGTGTGCGAGAGAAAAGAAAAGAGATAAAGAGTGTATTTCTTGTTCTTGAAGGAGTTAGAGTGAGAGAATATTATGTCCCTTTTTGGTCAAGAAAAGAGATAGAGGTATTGCAGGATTATCCATAGTACTCATTATTGATATAGTGAAAGATTGTTGTTCATGCCCCGTGGATGTAAGCACATATAGCTGAACCATGTTAATTCTTGGTGTTGTATATCTTGGTTATTTGGTTTCGATTTTCCGAGTTTGTTCTGTTTTTCCCATTCTTAAACGTGATATGCACAACACCTTGAAAGGGACAGCCAATATGGTTGTCAATGATATTTTGTCATTGTAATTGGTTTTTGTTTCATCCCTTATATTTTCAAACTTAAGTCAAAATAGGGGATGTTATGTCTACTTGATTGAACCAAGGGTCCATTTGCTTTGGTCTAAAATTCTTCCAAGAAAAATGATTTCCTTGAGGAAAAAACAGGTCATTTTTCATTGTTGGGCTTTGAAAAAAAAGGAAAACTACTGTTTTATTTGGCACATGGATTAGAAAGTGCTAAAGTGAGGAATTATTGTAGTTATTTTGTGTATTCTTATTTCTTTTAGATCCTTTCACTTCGACCAGGATGTGATTGTCTGCCACCATGAAGGACAGAAATCTTTTTTTATTTATTTTAAGACAGGCTCTCCTTCCTTCCCTCGTCATCCTGCAGGAGAAAAATTATTTCCTGAACAAAAATCAAAAGTTATTCGACGAGTTTTTAACAATTAAATATTTTTTTCCTTTTGGGCAAGAACTGGTTTTATGCTGACTAAGTGGTTTACAATGTGGTAAGCAAAAGAAAATCCGGAATGTTGTCTCTGTTGTTTTTTAATTGAGCTGTACTATGATTTTCCCAGCTCATAGACCTTTTGGAGACTGTTAGCGGTGTTTGCATGTGTGTGTGTTGTGTGCATGTGTTTTGAATGTGTGTTTACGTGGATATGCATATTCTGATATGTCAGCATTGCATGTTTTAAGGTCTTAACTGTTAGTAACTTTTCTTAGAATTACTTGGGTCGTGCTACTCAATATCTCTGCTTTTTGTTTCAGGGAGATATTTTTTACTTGTTCTATGAAACCAAAAATTCAATCACTTTGCAAGGAGATATTGGAGTCTCGAAAAGTATTGATAAGGGAGCAACATGGCAGCAATTGGGCATTGCCTTGGACGAAGAGTGGCATCTCTCTTACCCGTATGTCTTCAACTACCTTGGCCAAGTAAGAACACATTTCTTTTTACGTGCACACCAGCCCATTTGATCCTGTCACCAGTGTGAATGAAAGTAAAGATCTGTAACAGATTATTTCTACACAATTGTTTGATGCATTTTTGGTCAAGTTGCAGCTTAACGGGACACACTGATTGCATAAAAAAGCACCTATATAACTTATTTTTTTATTGTTTCTTACAGATATATATGATGCCTGAGGGTGGTATGAAAGGGGATGTTCGTCTATACCGAGCACTCAATTTTCCTTTGCAATGGACTCTGGAGAGAGTGATCATGAAAAAACCTCTTGTTGATTCTTTCATAATTGATTATAATGGAGTGTATTGGTTGTTTGGTTCAGATAACACGGGATTTGGCACCACAAAGAATGGACAGTTGGAAATCTGGTATAGCAGCTCCCCTCTTGGTCCTTGGAAACCACACAAGAAGAACCCTATATATAATCGGGACAAGAGCTTTGGGGCTCGAAATGGAGGCAGACCATTTTTCTACAAAGGAAATCTTTATCGTGTTGGTCAAGACTGTGGTGAAACATATGGGAGAAGAGTGCGTACCTTTAAGGTGGAAGTTCTTTCCAAAGATGATTACAAAGAAGTTGAAGTTCCCTTGGGCTTGATAGAGCCAAGTAAGGGCCGTAATGCTTGGAACGGTGCTCGCCATCATCATCTAGATGTGCAGCAAATAAATACTGGTGAGTGGGTTGGAGTGATGGATGGAGACCGGGTACCATCTGGGGATTCAGTTCGGAGGTTTATTCTTGGCAGTGCTTCAGTTGCCGTTGTTGCTGTACTCATTATATTGATGGGTGTACTACTTGGAGCTGTGAAGTGTGTGATTCCTCTCAATTGGTGCACTCGCTACTCAGGTAAGCGGAGTGATGCGTTCTGGGCCTGGGAAAGGTCACATTTGTTTTCTTCCAAAGTGAGACGGTTTTGCAGCCACTTGAACAGAGGAGTTTCATTCCTCAGAGGTAGGATTAAGCCTAATACCTGTGCTGGAAGGCTGGTTCTTGCTATAATTTTGGCATTTGGAGTTGCAGCGATGTGCACAGGAGTTAAATATATCTATGGTGGTAGCGGTGCAGAAGAAGCTTATCCATGGAAAGGTCATTACTCACAGTTCACCTTATTAACAATGACCTATGATGCTCGTCTCTGGAATTTGAAAATGTATGTTAAACATTATTCCAGATGTTCCTCAGTGCGAGAAATTGTTGTGGTGTGGAACAAAGGAATACCACCTGAAGTTAGCGACTTTGACTCCACAGTGCCGGTTAGGATCAGAGTAGAGAAACAAAACTCACTGAATAATCGGTTCAAGTTGGATTCTTTGATAAAGACCCGAGCAGTTCTTGAGCTTGATGACGACATTATGATGACTTGCAATGATGTTGAGAGGGGATTCAGGATATGGCGCCAACACCCAGATCGTATTGTGGGTTTCTACCCCCGACTAATTGACGGAAGCCCATTGAAGTATCGAGGTGAGAAATATGCCCGGACCCATAAAGGATATAACATGATTCTCACGGGGGCAGCTTTCCTTGATAGTCAAGTAGCTTTCGAGAGGTATTGGGGAAAAGAAGCTAGCCAAGCGAGGGAATTGGTGGACAAGTATTTCAACTGCGAGGACGTACTGATGAATTACTTGTATGCAAATGCTAGTGAATCCAAGAATGTGGAGTATGTGAAGCCAGCGTGGGCAATAGATACATCGAAGTTATCTGGTGCTGCAATAAGCCGAAATACAAAAGTTCACTACCATATAAGGAGCAACTGCCTCCTGAAATTTTCTGAGATGTATGGAAGTTTGGCTGGGCGCAAGTGGGAGTTTGATGGGCGGAAGGATGGTTGGGATGTATAGCCAGGGAGGTATAGTAGCTAGTCGCTTACAACTCCTGAATTTGTTAATCCTTCTCTCTTCGTTTAGTAAACTTTTAGTAATCCATACTCCCTTCACCCCTGTGAATTTCTTGTCAGGGAATTAGTTTATCAATAGATTTGAATTTTGATCACTAAGATGTGCATTGTTTTTGTGTTTTCTGATGTCTTGCGGAGATTGATCCAGTATGTGTTTTTATCGTCTTGGTTTTGGATGTGCCATGGCCTCTGCAGCAGGGAAATTTTGTGTTGTGACATTACTCCGTTACATGTATGTTGAACTAATTTGAGAAATGATGTTTTGCCATATACTTTGAATGCTATATTGCCGGAGTGAATCATGAAAAAGGTACTTTGAATGCTATATTGCCATGTACAAATTTGGGTGGAGGATATGTAGCATCTGAGGAAATTGTATAATGGTGCTTGATGGTTTTATATGGTTGATAACTGTAATTGTGTAGGTTGTGTAATGATAGGAGAGAATCTTAATTAGTGTGACGGTATTTCAATTCAATCACGTATTGTTATGCGTTTCAAATTTGTGATATGACATTTGCGATTGACTTGAAATATTATCATATTATCATTCCTGTTGCATGAGCATATCCTCGATTATGCTTACCTTTGTGGTTTTGCCCTCAAAAGGGCATTCGTGTCATTTTAAAAATGGCATTCATCTACCGGTAATATGGTTGAAGAAATATAAATGAAACCGGCCGACCAATACAACGAATGAAACTGGATGTTTAGTCGGTTGGAGCATCTTGAATCGACAGTATATATGGCGACGTAAAAGATATGTATACATTAGTTGTTGGTCCAAAAACTCTTCCATGGACAATTTAAATGGGAGGTCAAATAAATCTTCCATGGACAATTTAGATGGGAGGGCAAATATTTGTTTGAGTGGAAACGTACTTAGTACTATTACCATCCGACAGTCATAGATGCTTATTGAATGTCACAAAAACCTATTTTGATCGTCATATAGTAATAGTAATAAGTACTTGTAAGTATAGTAGTCAAATACATAAATTTATACGTGGTTTTACATCTTCTAAAAATGTAAACGTGATGAAATAGGATGCAATATTGACTTTTATATCTCAAATTTACATTTGTAAGTTATATTGTAGTTAAAAAAACTTATCTTAAAGCATCTCCAAAGGCTGCTCCAACATGAAATATGTAAATTTGAGATTCTATTTAATTTTATCTCTTAATTAGTGGGATTGTCACCAAATATGTAAAAAAAGGAATGTAAATTTAGGTTTTTACTTATATCTTCCAGCAAAGATGTAAAAGAGAATTGAAGTTTTTAGCCAAAAATTACCATAGAAGAAAGAAGGCCAAAGGAAACAATTCAGTGTCTTCCTCCACCTTTCCAGTCGTCTTCACATTGTGAAAACCTCATATGCCCCCTATGAGTGTATGACATGAACTCCCAAGAATTATGGGTCCATGTTTATGGGAGACTCAAATCATGCAAATCAATAAGCACAACACAACTCAAACAGTTGCATTCATTTCTCATCAAAACAAGGCGTCTCCCTCTCAAATATCCCAACCTCATTTCTTCTCCTCCATCTCCTCCTCACAAACACAAATACTCACATTCCACCCACATCCTCTCTTTCTTAAATCACCTGGAAAAGCCAGACCTCTGCCTCTCCCTCTACAATGCCATCATCCAAGGCCTCCCTTCAAATCCCACCACCAAAACAGCCTCCCTTTTCCAACTGTTTGAATTGCTTGAACACATGCTTGCCAATGGCATCCTTCCTGACCACTACACCGTCCCCTCTGTTCTCAAAGCGTGCGCGCAGTTGCGTGCGCTGAGAGAGGGGCAGCAGATTCACGCCTACGCTATCAAGACCGGGCTTGTTTTGTCCAATGTTTACGTCAATAACACTCTTATGAGGGTTTATGCTGTTTGTGGGGTTATGAAATGGGTCCGGATGGTGTTTGATGAAAGTCCTCAGAGGGACTTGGTTTCGTGGACTACGCTTATTCAGGCTTATGTTAAAATGGGGTTTCCGAGAGAAGGAGTTGAAGCGTTTTTTAGGATGTGTGACGTAGAGATGAGGGCGGATGAGATGACGTTGGTCATTGTTCTCTCTGCTTGCTCGAAGTTGGGAGACTTGAGCTTGGGTAGGAAGATCAGTGGATACATTTACGATAATGGGGTATGCCGAGATGTTTTTATAGGCAATGCGTTGGTCGATATGTACTTGAAGTGTGGGGATGCCGACTTTGCACGTAAAGTCTTTAATGAGATGCCTGTGAGAAATGTGGTTTCCTGGAATTCGATGATATCGGGTTTAGCACACCAAGGGAAATTTAAGGAGGCGTTGGACGTGTTCCAGGAGATGCAAAGAATGGGTCTTGAGCCAGATGATGTTACTTTAGTTGGCGTTTTGAATTCATGCGCGAATCTTGGAGTGCTCAAGATGGGGGAGTGGGTACATGCTTATGTTGATAGAAATCAGATCGAGGCTGATGGGTTTATAGGAAATGCGCTTGTGGATATGTATGCTAAGTGTGGAAGTATAGACCGAGCCTTTAGAGTTTTTCAGCGCATGAATCGCAGAGACGTATATTCATATACTGCCATGATTGTTGGGTTAGCTATGCATGGGGAGGTAGAGATGGCATTGGATATATTTGCTGAAATGCCTAGAGTGGGCATTGAACCGGATGAGGTGACATTTATCGGAGTCCTTGCAGCATGTAGTCATGGAGGACTTGTGGCAGAGGGTCAGAAGTATTTTAGGGAGATGTCAAGTGTGTACAAGCTCAGACCTCAGACAGAGCATTATGGCTGCATGGTTGACCTGTTAGGCCGTGCCGGGTTAATAAACGAGGCAGAGGAGTTTGTTGAAAACATGCCAATTCAGCCTGATGCCTTTGTTTGGGGCGCTCTATTGGGAGCCTGCAGGATCCATGGGAAAGTAGAGCTTGCTGAAAGTGTGATGAAGAAACTACTGAAGGTAGAGCCCGAGAGAGATGGTGCATATGTGCTCATGTCAAACATATATTCCTCTGCAAATAGGTGGAGGGATGCAGTGAAGTTGAGACGGGCGATGAAGGGAAAGAACGTGAAGAAAACTCCTGGGTGTAGTTCAATCGAACTTGATGGTATTGTTCATGAATTCAGAAAGGGTGACAGATCACATAAAAGAAGCAAAGAAATATACAAATTGCTAGAAGAGATTATGAGCCACATAAAGAACCATGAGCTTCTGGCACACTGAACTCCATTCTTTTGATGATCGAGGCATATCGACATAAACCGTCAGCTAAACTGGGAAGGAGGAGCGCTGGCAGTTTGGCACATTTCAGCTGGCATGATCGATCAACTTGATCCCATGGTTCAAATTTACGGGCTTTTCAGGAGCTAATGCATCTTCTGCGAGGTAAGAATTAAGCAAGAAGATCAAATTTAATAATGTTGTCAACCTACCGAGTAATTCTTGTAAAGATTCATCTTGTAAACTATCAACTATACTTCATAATCCACACCAAATTTATTTAGTACTGGTGTCACTTGTACCGTGCTTCATTTTTCGTAAATCAGTCCATTTGTGCTGTACTAGGATCTTGGTTTTCCTCAGGCAGAAGCTGCATTATTTCATCTCCGATGCACATAATCGCATAGCTAACCTGTGTGTCGATTTTATCCTGTTTTAACGCTCTTCTCAGCAGCTAGGTATTCCAAAATTTTGCAGCAGGGGGTGGTTAAAACATCATACACATAATAATACCATCCATCTAGTGCCTAAGATTTTGCTTCCAAGTCCTTGTGGTATCCATAGCTAAAGAAGTTCACACACCCTTCTAATTTTCGGCCGTCTGATCGGATGAATTGAAGAAAATCAACGGATAGAAATTAACAAGGGGTGTGTAAGAAGTAAAATGAGGTGTGTGTATAGCACACCCCCTAAAGAAAACTTGAACTTAGTTGAAGCTATACCATGAATATCTAAGTTTAATGAACTTCTGGTAATGGGATTAATTTGAATATACAAATCTAATAGGGAAATGATAAACACACACTCTTTTTAGCATCTCACACGTACTTAATCTGTCTGTTGATTATACTTGATTTATTCAATTTATAACTAAAAATACAAAGAGGTGTGTGAGAAGTTAAAAAGAATGTGAAATCACATCTCATTTTATATATCCGAATGAAAACTTGTAGCTTCCTTGTAACATGATACGGCAAAATAATGCATGAAACAGTCGTACGACACAAACGTAGTTGAAACATCAAGGACCCGTTTGAGAGTGAGGAAAAAACACACAAGATGTTCTTCTCCCCATAAGTGTTTGTGGCCCCCAGTCCCAGAGTTGATCCGAAACGAACGTTAGATAGGGTTGGATGACGTGCATGCATATCCTAGTTGCCAAACAGAAGACGGTGGAAGAAGGGAGAGGGCAATTATAGATAGAACCACACAACTAGTTTGCCCCCTACAAAGTGTACAGTTTGGTGCCTGTAGAACTGGCTTACTTTGGAATATCCCATCCGGATGCACGCAGATCCTACAGATACCCATATCTTATGTATCGTGCGATCAGAAATTATTTGATTTTTTTTTATGTAAAATTAAACACAAATAGTATTTGACGAAAACTGACCGCACGATGTACGATAAACGACCTAGGATCCTCACAAAATAGATTCGAAAATGATCATTTTTCTAATTCGGACTTTGTTATTAATTTAATTTGTCCGACAGTTTTGCCAATTGCCATAAGCTTTGGAAACTATAATTATTTATTAACTACTCTCTGTTGGCTGCCCATTTGTTTCCCTTCCGTTAACAATTAACAAACTTCCATAGATCAAAATAATAATCTAGTAAATCATGTTTGAAGCGTCTGCTATACCGTGTTCGGTTCTCAGAGAGGCATCTACTACCAACGGTTGAGTATAAACACAAAACCCGAAAATCTTAAAATACGTTAGCTAAGTATTTCGTTCTCAGTTTTTAAGTTTATTTTTATAATTTAAACTGAAATATATATATATATATATATATATATATATATATATTAATACCACATGTGAGGTTCACATGCTAAGGATTGACGGAACTTTTATTTTTGGACATAAATTCTAATAGACTTTGCCATAAAGATTTGAATCCTCATATTTTTTTACCACATGGGTTATCTTCTAACTATCATATATGACGTTAACCGGTAGTAATGTATAGTGTAACAATTTGTATCTTAGGTTAACTTCAATCGGGTTACTACTTTCAACTTTATCCACTACAGCATGTTGCATGTTAGTACTATATGAATTTTAACATTAATGCCCGCACGTTGGGAGATTTTGACAATCTAGTTCTAACATTACGATGGTGTTTAAAAATTCGATAAGTTATGACATGTTACGTGTGGAGTCTGCTATTTTTTTTTTAGAAAAAAACAACAACATATTAGTAGAAAGCTTAATAATTTATCAATGACAATGACAGATTCTTAGACGAACTCGAAGATAAAGAAGGAACACTGCATGTTTGTCTACCTAGTACATACTAATTCGACACCACAAATTTGTAGAATTTTTATGAATTGTAATAATTAAAGAGGGTTAAGTAAAGCACCACTAAACCATGAAAATAAACTCTTTTAATACTATCTTTAAAAGACTGAATTGGTATTGATCCAATCCAAGCATGCAGGTTAATCTCAGGCCTCCTTCCTAATAACTGCTGGTGGGTGGAACCGCTGCTGCATATTGTCTGTCCAGAACCTCAATGAGCTTCCCAGCTATTGCGCTTGCATACAAACAAGACCCTTCATACATCTGCACAATTAAAACCAAACCCTAATTAATTAAAAACCAAAGTTAAACCAAGGGGCGAAACTAATCGTGAAATTTTGTTGTTTCTTGCGGTGCGTGTAACTTCTTAGATTACGTTTGATATGTCTGTCCTACATACGTTCTTGATTGTTATTAACGAAGTTTCATTTGATCTCACAAAAGACAAACAAACCTTGGTATTGAACAAGAAGCTGTAGGAATTGCCAATGTGGCCACCAGCAACATGGTGAAGATCAAGCTGCAGCTCATCAAGAATCCTGGACACAAACAGCAACAGGTTGATCTTCTTCCTCTGCACCAGTTTGATAGTAACTTCATCGTCGATAATGCGGATATCGACTTGGGTGTCTTTGGATTTCCTTTGAAGCCATGAGCTCCTCAGAGAGCCATTGCTATAGGACTGGTCATGATGCTCTCCAAGAGGCTTCACAGTACAGTTCTCATCATCTCCAGCGGAACCTCCATCGTGTTCAGTCTTGTGCCTCTTGATCCTCTCTCTCCCACACCTTTTCTTCTCCACCAGCAACTTGAGCTCGTCCACTGTCCTCAGAAGCTCGTTTATGTAATCAATTGCATCTCCCAGAATTGATGCTCTATCATTCTTTCCTCCAATTAATTGTACCCAGAAAAATAAATTAAGCAAAACAAAAAACCGAGGAAATGGTGTTTCAATTAAAACTGCAAAACAACTGATGCATTTTGTTTTATGAAATCAACACGGGATTTTCTAGTATGCTTCGGAGTATTCTATGCTGGGAATTTTTGGTCGTTACGTTCGCATACACTTGATGTGAAGTTTGTGAATTTTATGTGCGTACCTTTGTTGGGTTTGGAACCAAAGTCTTCAAGATATCGTACTTGCCATTCAATTGCTGTCTCCTTTGGCGCTCAGTGGCAAAGTGTTTGGTCCCTTTGAGATCTCTTCCTCTCCCATTAGAAGCCATTTCTCTCGAGAACTCCAAAACTCCGCTATCAAACTGCCTCCCAAGACTTCCATCTGGATCTGGGTCATACAGAACTCCTCCTCCGCTCCCCTCTCTCTCATCGCCGCCGCTACTGAACAGCGACCCGTTTCCTGGGCCGGGCAAGGTGTACCCATGAGGCAGAGATTGAAGCAACTCCCTGAATATTGGCGGCTGTGGAGGGAGGTTCAAATGGAAAAGAGGGTCATAGAGAACGGAAGAAGCCGTCCCCTGTGGAGTGTCAACGGCGCTGGGGAGGTCTCCGAGGGACCCCAAAGAGCTCGGAAAATTCGAGGTTTTTTGGATGGGGTTTGTGAAGGCGATGGATGGATTTTGGAGAAGAGAGGAAGGGGAGCATCTGGGCAAGCTGAAAACGTTGAGAAGGTCAGGTGGTTGTGGGTATGGAGTAGAAGTAGCAGTAGTAGTACCATCCGGGAATTGTTGCTGCATCTGATCATGGACTCCACGAATATTGTTGTCCCAATTTGTTGGGTGCTCAAAAGACACCAAATGGGAATTGTTGATGCTGTTGTCATGGTTAGTGGTGTTGTTGTATGGGTTATCGACATGGAACCCAAGTTCGTTTTGGAGCTCGATGTCCATGGAGGAATGATGATTTTGGTGACGGTGATGATGATAAGAAAGCTCTTCTATGGAGAGTCTGATGTTTTCTTCGACACCAAACCCGCTGTTGGTGGTGGTGGTATTGTGGTGGTGGGTGTCTGAACAAGGCATGAGAACTTGCGGTTGTTGTGGAGGCGGCGGTGGTGGTGGGAAAAGCGGGTTGACGTCTAGCAAGCTCTCTGCTGCAGAATCAGGGATGGAGTTCGGGTCAAAGTTGCAGCCTACTGTGTCTTGATACATTTTGGGTTTTGGACAAAAGCCGTCTCCTTCTTTTTCCCTTTAGGATCCGTTATTTCTTCACAATTCACGACATCAAGAACTGGTGGAGATAGAAAGAGAATTTGTGAGAGAGAGATTGATGGTAGGAGAAAGAAGGGACTAGTTATAACTGCAAACCTCTGTGGAGAGAGAGAGAGAGAGAATTGTTCTTTTTCTCAGTGATTTTCCAATTTGGCACAGCAGATCAGAAGCACCAGCTGGGAGTTTGTTACTGAGATCCCACCAGTGGGTCCACTCACAATCTCCGTATTTCTAAAAGAATGTTGTTGTTTACGTATTTATTTTTATTTCTCACGCATTTCTTATTAATTTTTTTTTATCTTCTTCAATTCATTGAATTTCACAGTAAAAAATTGAAAAAGATCTGTAAAAAGATAAAAAAAGAGTGGATATCACCACCCAAAAATTCTTGATTGCTCGCCTGATTTTGCCCTTTCGCCCTCTCATTCTTTTCATTTGCTTTTTTCTCCTTCGTATCGGTTCTCAAGTTAAGAACTTGTTTGCGTTGAGAACTTGGGATATACATTGTGGTAGCTATGGGGTGGGTGACTGCTTGTAATATTCTCATGACATGTATTTAGAGATTTACCTTAATACTTTTCTAATTCATGAGAAAATGCGATTGTGTTTTTCTTGTTACTCGATAAAAAGTCATAAAATTTGTTCAATCATTCACAACGAGTTCAATATAAAATAATGCAGAAGATGACTTACAAAGGTATTGATTTTCTGGACTCATTTTCTCTTTATACACTCTTTTAATTTCTTTCAATCTTTCGATTAAATGAATTAAAAGAAAAAAGCGAGAATATAAAAAATCACTACATTAAACAAAAAACTTTTGAATATTAATGTGTTAAAATATCTAAGCCCTTTACAAGAATTTTTATAATCCTAATAACTTTTATACACAGTGAGAAAGGTGGGTTCTCAAGGTTTGTTTAAAAGAAGAAACGTCATGGATATTCTTTTGAAATTACCTACCTGTCCAAAAGAGAAGGACGATGACTTGGTTCCTTGCTGTACACCAAAACACACTTCCACATTTTAGACTCCTAATTTAACTCCCCTTCTGCGATATCGCTTATATATTAAATAAAAAATTCCATTTTAATCATTGACGAAAATGATTTTTTGATTAAAATCATGAGTAATCAAAATCTAATTTTAGTCCTTTGATGAATTAATAACCTTATTTATTAATTATATTTTAATTATTTCTCTTTTTCTTCTTAATTTTTAATGTATTAATTTTATTTCATTATAATTATAATTTTCATTTTATTTATCGTAATATATTTTGTTGTAAACATTTAGATAAATTAATTTTTGTTATACAATATATTTCGATGTACTTTGTCTTCTTAATTTAGGTACATTAAATTCATTATAATACATTTCGGTGTATACATTTAGGTACACACATTTCGGTATATACATTTCGGTACATACATTTAGATACATTAATTTAATATAATACATTTCAGTGCATATATTTCAATACATACATTTCGGTACTAACATTTAAATACATTAGTTCAATATAATACATTTCGGTACATTAATTGAGTCTTTCAATTTTGAAGAATGTTAAATAAAATTAATAAATTAAAAAAAAACTTTTTTTGCTCAAAAATTTTAAACTTAAATTTGTTTATTTATAAATTTAAATATTTAATGGGAGACATTAAATAAAATGCAAATTGATTATTTTGAATTAAGGACACATCAAGAGACTATAATCAATATGTAATCTAACACCTGATTTATTTTAAATTTCAATCTTCTTGAAGAATTAAAGTCAAAAAATCCCTATACTAAATAATAAGTTTCTAATATATCCTTAATGGTTTTGTAGGACCATTTTGCCATTAAGACAAAATTCAACAGTAAGATTTTTACTTGTTTTTGTTCATGTCTCAAATTGTAATTTAGAGAAATAATGAATGATTTTGTGATAATTATAAATTATAAATAGAGCTTTGGTTGTGAGAGACAAATATAAAAGAACTAAAAACAGGAAGAAGAATAAAGAAAACCTTTTTCGAGTATTTCACGCAAATTTGGTTATTCTCCGAGAATGAGTTTCGGCAGGAGCCCTATTTTTCATACAGTTTATGTGGACCCCACTTCTCACTTCTCCCATGCAAACCGCCATCCCGAACTAACCATTCCTACCATTTAACAAGAAAGACTGAATTTTTATTTCATTTTAAATCCTCTCTCTTGTAAAGGACTTGCAAGAATTTTTAAGGGACTTTTTTAAAGTGAGCTAGGTTCATTATAGATTTGTTCTCATCATATAATTTAACGTTAATTTTTGTGCTAATGTTTTAAAAACTATACTAAAAACATGAGAAGTTAGAGAGTCTCACTTTTGAGAGAGTTCCTTTAGAATTTCTCAGAACTTACACGTTATATTTACATATACATTATGATGTTCTGTGTGAATAATTCAATGTATAAATTTCTCTCTACATGACGTTGTAGCTTTTAATACAGAACAACATAATAATATTGTATTCATGTCAATTACGTTTGCTATCTCTCATATAATATCACTTATACAAAAAGAGAATCTAACTAATTCCATAATAATGAACTGAAAGTTGGACAATATTGTGCAAATTACTAAATTTTAAGGTTGTCTGTGACTAGTTGACAACCTTGTCTCCATTTGGTCAGAGAAGTTCTCATTTTTGACTCATACGGATGCAACGATCATATATGATGTACACGTATATTAATCATTTCGACTTATTTCCAAGTAAGTAAACGTGAGATGATTGTTAACATGTTGTTGACTGTTTAGTCTAAAGTATAGAGAGCTAAGGTCCTTGATGTTTAGGACGTGCACGCATGTCCTAATTGCAGAATGGAAGTGTATAGAACCACACAACTAGCTTGCAACCCTACAAAGAGTACAGTTTGATGCATGTAAAATTGGGGTCGGACATTGTTATTAACTTGGGTAAACTTTGGTTCTCGTTCTTGATTGATTAAAATTTTAGATTGAAACTTTATTAATTTGAATACTTTGATTGAATGGTACAAAATATTAAATTTAGTATTAATTAATCCTTCTTAAATCATGCAAAAACTAATACCAAATAGAGATTTTTAATTTTTTTTTCCTCAAATTTGAATTGTGTGAAATCTGATCAGATTTTATATTTTTTTTAAAATATAATGTTTTATTTTTATTTTTAAATATTTGTACATTTTACATATATATAACAAAGTGGCACATTGTAAGTAAATTATGAGTACAAATAAGAGAGAAAAAAAATTAACAAATAAAAGTTAACAAATAAATTTTGCGAACAAACAAATCTGTTGTCAAATTTGAGGCTCTACTAATCTCTTACACAAGGTTAGGAACGTAGGACTTGGGTTTAGTTCTCACCTTACATGGTTTATGTTGTGTAAATGCAGCACAAAAAGGCAGAGGCAAACACACAGAGACTTTCTCCAAAAATGTATCAAGACACACTAAGCTGCAATTTTGACCCAATCTCCATCCCAGAATCTGCAGCAGAGAGTATACCCAACCACGACCCTCTCCCTCCTCTACCACCGCCGCCACAACCACCGCAAGTTCTGATGGATGAGCTATCTTGTCATCACCATCACCATAATCATCATTCCTCCATGGACATCGAGCTCCAAAACGAACTTGGGTTCAATGTGGATAATCCAAACAACACCACCACTGACCATAACGACAATATCAACGATTCCCATTTGGTGTCCCTTGAGAACCCAACAAATTTGGACGACAGTATTCATGGAGTCCATGATCAGATACAGCAACAATTCCCTGATGGTACCACTTCTGCTACTTCTACGCCATACCCACAACCACCTGACTTTCTCAACCTTTTCAGCTTACCCAGATACTCCCCTTCCACTCTTCTCCAAAACTCATCTACAACCTTCACAAACCCCGTCCCCAAAACCTCGAATTTTCCGAGCACTTTGGGGTTCCTCGAAGACCTCCCCAGCGCGGTTGACACCCCACAAGGGATGGCGTCTTCTCTTCTCTATGACCCGCTTCTCCACTTGAACCTTCCTCCGCAGCAGCCATTGTTCAGGGAGTCGCCTCAGTCTCTGCCACATGGGTACACCTTGCCTGGCTCAGGAAACGGATCATTGTTCAGTAGCGGCGGCGATGAGAAAGAGGGGAGTGGTGGGGGCATTTACCCAGATGATGGCTGTTGATGTTTAACCCTTTGAGCTGATATATTGGAGCCAAAGTCACAAGTTTTGAATTCCATTTTTATATGTTTAAATTTCTGATGTAATCTGAGCCATTGGATCATAGTCCAAGTGGTCTCTTCTCTAGGATTTAAGTGATAGATTATGACAAGTGTAATCGTGATAGAATCAAAGGCTAGGATTTAATCTTGGTGTGAAGTTGTTAGAGAAGAATCTCACTTCTCTCTCCTCTAACGGTTATATTTGATTAGTGGAGTGTGAAATACAATAAGAACCTTCATCATTCTCGCAGCACCATAGCTGCATTTTCTCTGCAATTTTCCTTCTTCCCAAACACTCAAAACCTTCATAAAACTAAATATTAAAAGCTATGAACTCTAACAATGGCACTATTACTGAGTCTTTTTTTGAGGATGGAGTTATGGAGTTCTCCAGAGAAATGGATTCTATTGGAAGAGGAAGAAATCTCGAAGAGTCCAAAAACCTTGCCATTAATCGCGGTCGGAGACAGCAGTTGAATGACAAGTTCTTCACCTTGAGGAATTTGATTCCCAACCCAACTAAGGTGTAGGCACAAATTTTAGAATTCCAAATCGCATTCTAATTTGAATTTGATGTGGCAGTTTGGCTTGTAGTTTTCCAGTTTTTCCCTCTGTTTTTTTGGCTTGATAATTTTATTCTTTCTAAACATTTGTTGCTTGGGATACAAGAATGATAAAGCATCAATCGTGGGAGATGCAATTGATTACATAAACGAGCTTCTGAGGACAGTGGATGAGCTGAAATTGCTGGTGGAGAAGAAAAGGTTTGGGAGAGAGAGGATCAAGAGGCACAAAACTGAACAAGATGGAGGTGCCCCCGGAGACGATGAGAACTGCAACATTAAGCCTCTTGGTGAGCGTCATGACCACTCCTACAACAATGGCTCTCTGAGGAGCTCATGGCTTCAAAGGAAATCCAAATACACCGACGTCGATATCCGCATTATCGAAGATGAAGTTACCATCAAACTGGTGCAGAGGAAGAAGATCAACCTGTTGCTGTTTGTGTCCAGGCTTCTTGACGAGCTGCAGCTTGATCTTCATCACGTTGCTGGTGGCCACATTGGCAATTCCTATAGCTTCTTGTTCAATACCAAGGTTTGTTTTTTTCACTAGTCCGCAATTGTCTGAATTTTTCCTTTTTGATAAAACGATATTCTAAATTCGTCTAATATATGAGAAGGAGAAATCACATTTGTGTGCAACGAGGCAAACACACTTGACCAACTGTGTCCTAATTCACTTAATTCGTTTGGTTTTACTAATTAGGGTTTGGTTTTAACTTTGCAGATGTATGAAGGGTCTTGCTTGTATGCAAGTGCTATTGCTGGCAAGTTCATTGAGGTTCTGGGTGGACAATATTCAGCAGTTCCACCTACCGGCAGTTATTAGGAAGGCATTAGATGGTCCCTGGATTATTGTTTTAAGTCTTTTAAATAGTATCTTTTACTGAAATGTTGGAGAGTTGGATTGAGTAGTTCACTTGAATATATTATTGTGGTGTTTTCTAAATTTTCTAGAGTCAGAATAAGAATAGTGTTGATTTCATACAAGTTGTTTGCTAACTTACTTGAATCGGAATTAAAACTAATTTAATTACTAAATTGTCGTCGTTCCAAACAGATTCTTTTGGTTTAAAAGTGAATGTAAACTTAGATGTTTAAGCATCGTTTGGTACAGAAGATTGGATTGTAATAGATAAATTATTATATTCAAGATATGTTGAATGAAAAAAATAATAGAATCATGCTCAACTTTAGACAACGGACATGTCAAAACACTATCTGTTAAGCCACTAAATTTTACAATCTATTAGTATTTCACTTCACATATAAGTGAGAGGTTGTGTACGATTTTTATCCAAGGTGAATTTGAACCAAATTATTATGGCTAGTCCATTGTGAGGTTGAACTTAGGCCATCTCCAACCGATGGCTGGCTAGAGGGCTCATTTTAGCCCTCTGGCCCTCCAAGATTCTCCAAGATATTAATATTTTAATGAACAGTACATAGTCATATTTGCTTCTGTCTTCAACTGAGGGCCAAAGGGCCAGATGGCTCGTTTTAACCCTATCACAAAAAACTGTCTCCAACCGAGGGTCATAGGACCAAACATAATTTATTATTTAAAAACTACAACTTAAATGTTTTTTTAAAAAATATGAAAAACTAGAAATGTTTTTAATAATTTGTTAAATGTTGTTAAAAACTACAAATTTTGTAAAATAAAAGTTATAGGAAAAAAAATAGAATTTAAAAAAAATAAAAAATAAAAGTTAGAGGAAAAATTTCGTAAATAAAAAATAATAATAAAACTGTAAAAAAAAAAAATTCAAATCAATCCTGTCGGTTAAAACCGACAGGATTGATTTGAATTCTGGCCATGCAGCCAGCCCTCTAGCCCTCTCGTATTCCGTGAGGCCCTCTCAGATTCCACAGCCCTGTAGCCTAGTCCTCGGTTGGAGAAGGTTTTTAGGCTATTTTCGGCCCTTTGACCCTCAGGACCATTCGATTGGAGATGACCTTACTCCTCCACCATTTAGTATAGATAATATCGTATGTATGCACAATACACTAATGGTTGAAGAAAACAAGTATTAATGCTGCAGAAAATGTAATTCCAGTGCTAACCAAATTCTACATGAAAAATGTGTTTTGTGTTATCAAAGGGTATCAAATTACAAAACCCTACTAATCCAACATTTTATTAACTTTTCACCAAATAAAAAAGCACATTTTATTGACTGAGACTTTTTATCGAATACTAGATGTGCGTTCAACTAAAATTATATCGTACAACTTAAACCGGTACACAATAAACAGTTTAGTTGTTACTAGTTGTTATAGGGAAGAAAATTGGTGAATATCAGTTATTGCGATAAAACGCTATTTGTAAGATATTTTAATTTTTAAAATAGAAGCGTCAATTAGATTTCAATTTAAAACTAGCAACCAGCACTCACACTATACGTGTGCATCTCAATTTTCTTTTTATTGTGGTATGAGTTATAATCAATGTGCAATGTATACAACATTCTAAAAAGAAAAAAAATCTTTTCACTGTGGTATGAGTTACACGAACTTATGAAAACAATTACTAACATTAGTGAAATAAAACCAAACTTATGAGTTAGGCAATACTTTCAGAATTTTATAATAATTTGTAAAGATATTGTTACATAAAACACTAAAATCATCACTAACTTCAATACGTCTCCCAAAAGTTGTATAATGTGAAACTCTACTTGGATGAAACCAAGCCCTGTAACAAAGTAAAAACAATTGAATGCAACACAATAAGTAATTGAGGAGTGATAAATCATGATTAATATATGTATTTCAATAACACATTGAAAGTATTGCAAGGGATTTTAAATGCTTAAAAATTTCTTCCTCCACCCTCCCATAAGATGCAGAAACTAAATAATGAGGTTCATACTTTTAGAACATTGGATGCCCATTCATGGTGGGAGGGCCTCCAGTCTAGGATTCATGGGTCAAAGAGGCAGGGGGCGGCGAAATAGGGGTCATGGGGGAAAACGTAGAGGATGTGGAAGAAGTTGTTGGGTGGTGGGTCTGGCGGAGGGCGATTAGGGTTGGAGGAGAGGATGAGCCTACATAATTTGCAGGTGGGTTAAAGGCAGGCGGGGTGGGAGAAGAGAATGAAGGAGGTGGGGTGGTTAGAGCTGTTGAAGAGGATTTTGGCGAGAAAGATGAATGATAGAGAATGCGAGAGTAGGAAGTTTTTATTTTTGTTTTTGTTTTTATTTTTACAAATTAGAAATATGTTAGAATTACATATAGGTGAGGCTTTGAAAAAAAAAAACAGCAAAATTTAGTTGTGTGAAATTAAATTTTTGCCCATATTTCTTATTCATGTTTTGTTTTAATTAGATGATTAAACTGATAATTTTATATGATTTTGATTGATAATGAATGTTTTATTAGTTAATAGAGGTTTTTAATTTTAAAATAAATAAATAACAAGAACATAAAAAGTTAGGGTATTTTCGTCAAAGAAAGTGATCTGATTTTAAAAGAAACAATAAAAACCCCACTCTGAGCAGCGAACGAAAAGTGAAGTGAGAGAAAAATGGGAAAGGGAGTAATTTGGGCGACGGCGGAGGACTTGGCAAGAAACAGAGGACGCGTCCTCTCTCTGTATCGCCAGATACTCAGAAGCCTTAACTCGCCTAGCTTGCCGCTGAATCTGGCGGCAAGGCTGGCCAAGAAAGCGGAGGCGCGCGCAATCTTCATGTTGGCGGCGGAGGAGAGGTCCCTTCACAACATCGACGACCTCGTTGATGCCGCTCATTACTCTCTCTCCCTCTTGAGGAAGGGGGAATTACCCAAATACATTCAATGAGTAGGTTTCTGTTTCCTGTGGATTTTCACTCGAATTGGAGCTTGACCCAGTTGGGTTTTGGTGTCCAATTGTTGAATTCAACTGGGTTTCTGGGTTTTAGGGAATGGTTATGATTTGATTTGGTTGTGAATGTCTTGATCATTTAATTAGTAGAAGAAATTGGTTGCTTTCTGATCATTGGTGGAAGTTTTTATGTGCTTTCAATGATTGATTGATTTGTTACTCATGTTTCAGTAATGTGATTTAGTTAGTTTTAGTCTTGCAATTGTCCAGGTTGATTGATGTTTGGTTATTTGGAAAGTCGTTATTTCGGTTTTAGTTTTGAAGTCGATTAATTTGTGAAATATATTGTCTTATGTGGTGGGCAAAGTGAGAAAAGGAGCGTTTTAGAGACTAGCAGATAAAATTCATTGATTACTTCTTGAACAGGGATGAAAATTTTGTCTCTGCTGCTGTATGTGTAGTGGGGTGCTGAGGAGTAATTACTGGAGTGTTAGTGGTAAATGATGTGTTAATGGGGTTTTTCTGGTATTATATAAACTGGTTTTGATTGGAAGAATTTGATGCATTTTCGATATGTTAGCCATCAAATCCGTACACCTCTAGCTCTGTATACTGAATCGGCCTACTATGAATGTTAAAATCCATCAAAATATAAACTGGTTTTCTTGTCCAGTCTGGTGTGTTTAACATTCATAATAGGCCGGTATCAGTATACAGAGCTAGGGGTGTATAGATTTGGAATTTGGCTAACATATTGGGAAAGCATCAAATTCTTCCCTGCATATTATTTATGGCAGTTGGCATCTTCCAAGTTCTGTCGTCGAATGTTTGGTTTTGCATGTCTAATTCTGGTTTTCTGTTTGTTTTTGTGGATTTTCTGAACTACTGTTAGCACTTGTGTATTACGATTATTTGTAATGGAACCAAATCAACCCATGTATTAGGATATTTGAGTTATATTTTCTTGTATAAGTCAAGCAACAGGCATTTGACTAATGGCATTGTGTGAAATTGTTTATAGAATTATTATCCATTCCACTGTCGATAGCGTAGCTGAGAGTTAGAATGGATGATTATTATGTATGTTTGTGCAGTAACCAATTTTTTAATGAATTGGGACATAGTATGTTTGCATATTTTTTTTTTTTTTTTTTCTTTCCCCTTATTAAAGAACAGCAGTTTTTATAATTTTGTCTTGCGGAAATGATGCAGGCCTTTTCTGTAAGATTTCAGTTTCTCCTTTGGGTGCTCTTGCAAAGAGATAGGAAGTAGAGCAATTTGTCTATTCTCGGTTGCTCTCCTGTTTGCTGAGATTGACAAACTAAACTATCAAACGTTTGCGACAATGTGAAGCTGGTAGGCCTACGCAAAATCGAAAGATTTGTGTGCATTTGATTTAAGATTACCATCTATTGTATATACATACCATGAACAATTCGTTCTGCATATGGTAGTTCAATAATATTTTGCTTCCTTTAAGACTCATATGATTCTTAATTTGTGCTGCATTTTGGTAAAATTTGTTGAATAGCTTCTCCATCAATAAGATTGGTTTATTCGTTGGATTAATATGTTACATCAAATGAAACAAACTTCTCAACTTTTGCCTTTTTAATGTAACAAGAAAAACTAGAATGGCAATATAGGTAAGTGCCATGGCAACTAATCAGCTTTATTATTTTCCCAGTTGCTCCAGGTCCCCACCAAAATCTTCATTAGTCTCGTTTATGGCTTGATCACTTCCATTAGCAACTTGATTATCCAGGAAATATTATTGGGGTGGACATTAAGAATAGAGTGCACAATATGTGAAATTTTTTACGAGTTGAGCATGCAAATTGGCATTTCATCGAGCCTTTAAAGGCCCGAGGTCATTTGCAAGTCATATCACACGCCTGTCGACATGCCTAGCTAACACTCTTTCTATCTTCTCCCTTTCTATGGATATTTGAATGGAGAGCTTTGATGACCCGCACATTTTTTGTTTTGACGAGTGCTGGTTGAGATTTACCCAAATCCCAGCCATTCACTATTGAAGAAAATGTACGGTGGTGGGGTGGGGTTTGAATTTCCATCTGAATGGATCTATAGTTTGCAGCATGCATGCTATAGCTAATATAGGTTTTGTGCAGCATACAAGAGATTACTGCTGCGTGCATGGGATACTGGCAGTGATTAGTTTCTCACATAAGTGGAACGAAACTACTTTGGTTGGAAGAAAATCAAAACTTCTACTAACACTACGTCAGCTGGTTTTATTGTTTTTGAAAACGGTGGCGTGGGACGGTTCGAGAGTGAAGGAATCGTAATGGTACTATGGCATGTATGCAAATTCGGCATCGCCTAGTCAGGGATTGTTGGATGTGTACACTGATTGACTCGGAATCGCTGGTGATAGTTCCCAAGAACGTGACATTCAAAGGCCGTAATGGTAAGTACCTCAGCGCTCCATCTGTCGATGGGAACCCATATCAGCAGTTTGAATCGACTGACATTGCAGACTTAACAATTGGGAAGCAGGTCTTCACCAACGCCGACGGAAGCCTCCGCCGCATAAAGTCCAATTCCTCGGGTAAATTCTCAAGGCTTACAAAGGATGATTGGATTTGCGTCGACGAACCCACGGCTCCTTGGAGATCACGGCATGTTCAACTTTGTCACAGTTTCACTCCTCGAATACCACAGCTCACAACCTACACAACTTCAAACCTGAAACACTTCCTGCAGATCCGAGCTTTGGCAGCCCCAAACCCCAACTCACGAAGCCCACACAAATTCGACACAAAACTATCGAAGCACAAACCTGCTTCCACGGCTTCAGTTGCTGCTTCTACAATCTGTGCACCAACACCAGACCCCTAATAAATCTACGAGAAACAAGGCAATTTTGCCAGCAAGTGCTGAAGATGGGGATGGGGTTTTATTATTTTAATATTTTAAAAATATTAAATATTTTTTTTTAGTTTTTAATAATATTTTGTCAAATTTTTTTAATAGAAAGTGGATCCCGAATTAAGCCACATAAATATTTAATTAAAAAATTCATGACAAGTAACGGAGGTATAACATTGGAACAAATTCTAAAGATAATGTATGACATTGTCAATTTTAAAAAATAAGGTATGATAATGTCGTAAAATTAATAGTTGAAGTAATTTTTTATTATTTACCCTATAAAAAAATAGGCGCTGAGAAGGAAATGGCTGTAAGGTGTAGTGATTGAAGAAAAGGGGAGCTGGAGGCACAGATTTTTGAACCCAGCAAGTTTCTAAAAAACACATAAGAAAGGGAGGTGGGCTGCAGCAACAGGAAAAGATGGTGAGAGGTTGGGCCCCAATTTGGGCCTAGCAGACAACACAAATGAAGGCCTTGGGCTTCAGACCTTGGAAAAGTAAGGTGGAGCGCTAATTAAGTTGGGCTTAAAAATAATAAAAATATATATACTTGGGCTAAAGTATATGCAAGAAAAAGGATGAGAGAATTTTTCAAGTCTTTTTTCTTGAATGACTCGGGAAATTTAGGACACATCTTTCGGTAATTCTCCTCGATAGGAGATTTGGAGAGACTTCCATTATATGCTACTACACTTCATCACTTGAAAGTTTTGTGATTATTTAGTGACTTGGATTTTGCAAGTTCCTAACCGAGAAACTTTCTTTGCTAGGGACTTGGGTGAGCACTATTTGTACCAAACTTCACCAATCTCGAAACTACCGAGCATGATCAACTTTATACCTTCAGAAACCCATTAAAGTTTCTTGTTGAGGTACCCTGCTGAAGCACAAGAGTTTCTCTCCAACCAGGAGGCTAATCATAATGGGATACGTGCCAACATCAGAATAAAACTCCTAAAACTCTACATTGACCATGGATGAAAGCATGCGACTCTGCTCAACTATAAAAGAAGATCATTCTCCTACAATTAATTTCTAATGATATTATTTTACTTAACCCATTATTAGAACTCACTAATGGTGATTATGTTTAAACCTTTGTATTATGTAAACTCTACATTGTTAATGAAAACTCCTGTACCCTTGTGACTTTGGATGAACCAGGTACATCTTGTGCTTGTTTCCTTGTCTCTATCTCTTTACATATTACCTACACTAGGTGACTGAAGCAACCTTACAAAGGCGACACTCTATGTTGTTCTAAAGTCAATCCGATTTTATGCATCAACAGAGGTGATAATAATTTGTTTTATCTTTTGTTGTTTTTGCTTATTCTATTTACAGGATAGAAGTGAGAATCAGATTTGGCATCAAGGAATGTTATGGTTTAAACAGTAACTTCAATTTTCCTTTTAGCCTTTTTTTTTTCTATGCTCACTCTCTTTAATCCTTTTATTATGCTTTTGAAAATATTTTGATTAGTTTTTTATTTTATTTTCCGGGTGTTCTTTGATTTTATTTTCCTACTATCCTGGAATATATGTATTGTTTTTTCAAGAAATTATATCTTGCTACATATCATCTACAGTTGCTAATTGAGTTTTGCTGGTTGGTGTTGATTTGTGGGTTCAAATACTTCCCCAAACCCTTTGTGCCCAAATAAGAAGAATTAGAAAAGGCAAGGAGACAATGGAAAGAAAGTAATTGTAATCTAATTGCACTGATAAGAAAATAAACCGGATTGCACTCCTCTAATTTGCTGACAGTCATCAACACATCATGCATGGTTTATTATTGCCCAATCCCCCAAATCTTCCCATGCATACATATTTACAAACATATATAGAGCTCAGTGTAATCATTTTAGTCATAGTCAGTATTTAAAATATTCACGAAATTGTTAAAATATATATATGAAAAATCAAAGATTGATATGAAAAGTAGTGAAAAATAAATTTCGTATGGCGAGATATAAGAAAATCAATGAATATCTCGCTACAAAATTTGGTCGAAATCCATTGCAGATTTCCAACTTTTGATTTCACCCATTGCAAATTTTCATAACGTCCATCAAAAGCAGCCGATACCAATATCGATACATTCATTAATATTTTTATAAATTTGCATGTCGACATTTCCACCAATGTTGATACGTTAAAAATTGGTTATCCTATAGCAAGTGATAACTATCTTCTGTATTTACCAGTGTAAAACTCCACCTTTCAATATAAATACAAAGGGACTGTTCAGGTCATTATACAATTTCCCTATTCTATATGGACAATATTAATTTTTTATACAATAATTAAAAAAAAAAATTATATGGGCAGAACAATAATACATAATAAAAAAAAGATAATATTAGGGAGATCAAATTTTTATACATAAATTTGCAAACCAAATAAGAAATAAGCACGTTAATCAACACTTACAAATAATAATTTGTTCATCGACATCCATATCATTTGGTTTTAAAAATTTGGTCTTTCTAACATTACTCAATTAAAAAATCCAAACCAGGTCAATGTCAATGGACTATAGTACATATTTACACAAATATAATGCTAGCTAGTCTTAAATTAAGCTTCCCCTTATTTCCTACGATATCATGCATTCAAACACTCATTCAACCATAATCCTTTTTATTGACCAAAAAAGAACATTAACCATCCTTTTTAATGGACCTAGATCCTCTTGTGTTCTCCATCTCTATTAGTAATGCAATGAATGTGCACAATCCAGAAAAATCAGTAGCTGTAAATATTTAAGATTTCATGCTTCCAGTATCCACAGCAAGATATTCTACCATATTAACGCTTAATTTCACTATAAAGCCATGTGTTGGAGCACCCAACTGAATCAACAAATAAAGCCACCTCCATTCTTTATACTCGAGCAACTCCTAGCAGCAGCCTAACATATGGAGAAGTCTTCCTTTAAGTTGGTCTTTTTACTTACCATTCTGGTTTTTGCATCCTGTGAGTCTACCTTTCACTGTTTGTTTTTCATTTTATTTTAGGGAACTTCAACGAAAAGCTTCCGGTACTGTTCACTTTAACGAAAAATCACATTTTTACCCTAAAATGTCAATTCTGCTACTATTCATTTTACCATTTATATTATTCTTATCGTTAAAACTTAAAGTTTTCAAATCATTTTCATTAGTTTTCCTTTTATTTTATTAGTTATCATCGTCCGTGGAATTTGAAGTCAAACTCTCCTTTTTTTAATTTTTTATTTGTTAAATTGTCTACCTATTGACAGTGTAGTTATAAACTGTATTTTCTTAAAATTTTGAATCATTCCAACGAGTTTGTTATGAAAGTGTGTCCACTCCCTTGCACCAAAGTTTCATCCCCCTTCATGTAAACAAGAGGACTTTAGGCCATCTCTAACCAAAGGCTGGCCAGGAGGCTCATTTTAGCCCTCTAGCCCTCCAAGATTTTAAATATTTTAATGAACAGTATATGGTCATATTTGCCTCCATCTCCAACTGAGGGCCAAAGGGCTATATGGCTTGTTTTAGCCTTGTAACAAAAAACTGTCTCCAACCGAGGACTAAAGGGCTATAGGGCCAAACATAATTTATTATTTAAATTTTAAAACTACAATAACTTAAATTTAAAAACTACAACAACTTAAATTTAAAAAGGGTGAAAATTATGTGAAAAATGGTGTAGGAATGACTTAGATATTTATAGGAAAAAAGGGGAATTTAAAAAAAAAAAAATTAGGCCAAAAAAAAAAAAAAAAAAAGAGGACAATACTGTCGGCTATATCCGATACTAAAGAGGACAATACTGTCGGATATATCTGACAAAAAATGTTTTAATAATGAAAAATCCAACCCTGTCCAGGGCTAGCTGGCTATTTGGATTAGGCCAGCCAATTGGCCCTTTTTTTATCTCGTGGGGCCCACGAGCTCTTTGACCTAGGCTTTGGTTGGAGACGATTTTCGGTCTATTTTCAGCCCTCTGATCATCTGGACCCTTCGGTTGGAGATGATCCTAGAATACTGTCTTGTAAAAAAGAAAATATTAATATCTGGAATAATTACAACTAATTAACCCTAATTGAGAAGATATTGGTACTTTTTTTATCAATTGCGGAAGGTTTTGAATACAAATTTATGAAATCTTATTATCTGTTGATGATATTGTTATTATGTGTTTGTCTTTAAATGTGTTCGGATGCAGATACTCAGAAAGGAGCCAAAGCAAGAAATGTAGTTTCGTTACGATGCCATGAAGATAGAGATTGCAGTTGTCCGAAATGCACATCCTGTAGTTGCCTTGACACATGGTGTGCATGCCCAGGCGATCCCGTCCCACCAGCTGCACCTGCATTCTTGTCTGAAATTCTCAGTGGATATCAAACAACAAAGCATAAACCAAAACATTGATTTCTACTCTCCTTGTGTGCTCCTCATAGTCGTTTCTCATAATAACAATGCTTGAATGAAATTGACATTATGGTTCTATTAAAAAAAATTATTAAATATATGTACCTCATAGTCGTTTCTCATAATGACAATGCTGGAATAAGATTGACGTTATGATTTTATCAGGAAAAAAAAGAAAAAAAGATGAATATCTTATTAAAGATGTTCATGTTGACGAAAATAATAGACATGCTTGCCTTTAGCTTATTGAGGAAATATCCATGATTGCTCCCTAAGCTTAAACGAAAAAGAAACGAAAATATTCAAAAAGGAACAGCATTTTTACGTACTCATGGAAAGGGCCTTGATTAAAGTCTGAAAAGGAACAAACGCAAAGCGCCATGTTTACATTTATTGTAAATGAAAAAAATAATATCTAAAAACTAGTACAGACTCTCTAAAAAGTCTCTCATTGTCTCTTTAAAATTCTCTTTGTGAAAGACTCCCGTCAACTTCACCGTTGGCCCTAGCCTTTGGCTTAGGTGCCAGAGGCATCCACCCTTCCTCCCCTCCGGATTTGGATCCTCTCCTAAGTTTAGGAGGTTGAGCCTCTTGAGCAAAGCACACGGGCTGTTGGATTTTGATCCAATGACTATAATTATTATAACTTTTAGAGAGCCCCTTTGTTTGTAGCCGTTGGATCAAAATTCAACGGCCTGTGTGCTTTGCTCAGGAGGCTCAGCCTCCTAAGCTCAGGAGAGGATCCAAATCCCTCCCCTCCTTCCCTTCTTCTTTTCCTCCCTCTTTTCCTTTTCCTTCTTAATTTTCTTAGGTTCTCTTTCCCTCTTTTCCTCCCCTTTCTCCTCCCCCTCCCTGCTTTCCTTCTCTTCCTTCATCTTTTCTAGTTTTCTCCCTTCCTTTTATATTCTTAGTTCTCCCCTGAGTTTAATCTCAGTTTTCCTTGAGCTGAGTCTCAACTATCTTGGGCTTCTTGCCCCTTATTCAGCGTTTTCACCTGTTTTTACTGTTTTTTGTCTTTCATTTCCCTTTCTCCCTCATCCCTAGCTGTGATACTTCATCCCCATCCCACCACCATGTGCTTGGATCGATGGGCCTTGATGTGGAATTAGATATCAGATCCACTTCCCTCCCTCACTTCCCCTCCCCTAACCAACATGCCGGATCTCCATCGAGGCCAAGTGTTGGGCATTTTACATACCCTTTAGCCTCACCTTCTTCCCATATGTTACGTTGTTGGTATATATTTTGTAGGGGTTCATGAAGGAGACTTGGATTTGGTGTTTACTTTATTGGTTCAGAGTTTGGCTTCCTTCGAGGATGTGACGGCGGCGGCGATGTGGTCTTTGCTACTGAAGATTAGGGTTTTTATTGTCTGTTTTCTGCTGCTTTTAGACATAAGTTTGTGTGGGTCTCCCGTTGTATCTTGGGTTGCTACTTTCATTTTGATTGGACCTTTTACATTCCCTGTAGTTGTTTACTCGGTCATTTTTTGGTCTTGTACTAGTTTTTATTATAATGAAAGTTGCTGATAAAACAAAATATATATATATTAACTTTTGGAGGGAAAAAAAAAAGGAAAGTATTTGACCGAAAAAGGAAACAAAGAAAGATAATTTTGATTTAAAAAACAGAGAATTTTGTTGACTAAATTAATCACCAATAATTTGTTAACTAAAAATATCCCAGCAAAGAAGGAAACAAAAATAAAACCTACATCTAAAAAGACAAGTTTGAAAATCAATATACGGAATTTTGGTTTTTTTTTTTGGTTAAAAAAACACAATAATTACATGAAAATTAAATTAAATATGCTGACATGGCCTTTAGTCAAAGCACCATGATTAAAGTTTGAAAAAGAATATATGTTTAATAAAAAAAAATGTGAAAATCCTTTAGTCAATTAACCAAGTTTGGTGTGTTTTCAATTTCATTAATGAATATCGTATTGTTTTCTCAAAATAAAAAAAAAAGATTGTGAAAATAGGTGAATGATTCTAACTATCTCATTCTTGCGCATCGGTCATGTAACCTTCTATGTACTTTTCCAAATTTACTAGAAGGGTAATAGGAAACCATATTTCATTCCTCAATCACAAAACATTGGGAAGTATTTGAGATTACAGTACGCATATATACATTGGCATTTGAAACAACCCTATCTCATCATGTATGCTTTTGTTCTGTATGGCTGTATGGCTGGTACAAAAAGGACATACGGTTTTGTCAAAGCTACAGTTTACAGGTTCTTCTGGCTGAAAAATCAGCCAAAGTTGCTGCCTTACTCAAACGGAAATCGCAGACCCTCTTGAGCTTGTTGCCATATTCTACCACGGCTTTGAAATTCAGATGTCCACTGAGAATGTTGTACCTCTCATTTGTGTATCTCACTACCCGGAAATGACTGAAAACCACAGCAAAAATAATCTGTTAAGTAAGGCACTTTCTTATTTTCAAGAGAGAATCCTACCGAGCTGGAATGAGACTATCATGGCTTTCCGAGCCACAGAAATGTTCCTCCAACAGTCCGTGAAGCTTGGTTTAATCGATGCCTGTATAGAGTCTATCATTCAAAGGGCACTAGCTAATCCCAGCCTTATTGGACAGCCAATGAAGAATTTGATATGACGATAGCTATAGGCTGATTGGCAATCCGAAGACTTGACAACACTGTCCCCTCCGGCTCTATGAGCCTGTCATCCTTCAAATGAATAAGCATAGAGTTCCATCGCCGTACGTAGCTGCATCCCTTGGTGACTATACAAGGAAATGGGTTTTCTCTGGCAGTGGAGAGGAAGATACGATGAACTACCAAAGGGAGATACTTGAAGCAGTGGAGAGGCTGTTGCCTCGTGACATTGGACTACTTCCATGCACATTATCCTCCGTTTCATTATTCTTTTGGAAGCGAGCTGTGACTGTAGAAATGGGATTCAGACATATCCGGGCTAGTTGCAGTAGCTGAACTCATTTGAAGAATTCTTGGCTGAAGTTGCCAGTGACATAGGTAAGATAGATACATTTGTTGAATTAGCAGAGATGTCAATTGCAGCATCGTTGGGAATACAAAGAACCTTGAATGGAATATACAGGGCAGTTCATATCTACTTAGATAAGCACAGGCACTTGACAGAGATGGAACGAGAGGAAGTGGCAGGTATGGATTTCAAAAAATGTCGCCCGAAGCATGTGAACATGCATCCAAAAATGAAATGTTGCCTCTCAGGGTGGTGGTGCAGGTGCTATTTGCAGGGCAGTTGCAGCTGCGGGTTACAATCATCAAGGAGGTGCAGGGTTTGGACGAAAGATCAACAAAGCAGGCTGCAGAGGAGAATGAAGCAAAGTTGGATGTTGGTGAGGGAAAAAAGAGATCCGAAATAGAGAAAATGAGCATAAAGGGGATGGAGATTGAAAGAGAGTGCTATAAGATGAGGAAAGAGATTGAGAATGGCTGCAGCTTATGAAGAGAACCAGATTGTGGAGATTGAGCATAAAGGTGAAGGAGAAAACCAGCTTCGCTAGAGAAATGGAGAGGAAGTTGGGGTGAATCAATAGCGTGCGCGATTCTAACTGCCAATTGAAGAAGAAGAAGGTGCATCCAAAACATGGAGTGTGACATGTAGATTCTCCTTCCTTCTAAGATTTGTTTAGCAAATATCTAGCTATTCATTGAAGTGCATAATGAGAGAGTAAGATGAGGGAAGAAGTTGGTGTTCTTGAAAGTTAAAACTCAACTAGAACCGAGGTTCCCGAAAAGCAGAAAACCAATTGGACAATCTGAACTTACATTATGCTATTAAGCTAAAGAAAATCAAAGTACAACAAAGAAAACCTTTCCTCTTTAGTTAGTTCACTTTCTAGCATCAAACTACATGTATGATCATTGTTGGGAAAGACTTTACATGGTTCCAGTTTACCTCTAAAATATTTTCCTGCTTTCTTCAGACAACATTAACACGGTCACACTCACACCAAGAATAAACTCCAAACTCACCTCCCCATATACATAATCGTCCTTGAGCTTTCGTTCCCCGTGGCAAGAGAAGGATGTTATACGTAGTTGCATATGATTCTTGCCATTCCATGGCAGTTGCCACGAGACTAGTCCATTCGCTGGAGGGCGGAGATATATATCGATTACCAGAACAGCGCTACTTGGCAACATCCATACTATTATAAAAAGAAATCAAACCATTAATCTCAACGGCATTTCACTATCCGTAGAACCAACTGAATCATTGATTGTATTGTGATGTTCCATGTCTATGGCTTGATAATGGTTGTCGTTTCCGTTCTGGCCTCTGCGTCCACCCTCATCTTCGTTCCCCATTACAACCACCCCGGCAAACTGCACCCTTCGGTCACCATTAGGTGAATGAACAGAGGAGTCCGCAGCTGATGAAGCATTGCCAACTGTCAATGCGCCGCTCGTGGTGGGGATGGTGGCTACCCGGCTGCTGCCTGCTTTGGCATAGCGACCGCTGTCCCCGGTATGCATGGCCCCGGCGGGCCTAAAGCATCTGTAGAGACATGTCATGATCCAAAATGCCCATGGAATAGCCACAAGCACCATTCCTGCAAAGGGGTACCATGGTTGGGTTTTTTCTTCGGGTAGAAGCATGTAAAGGAAAAGAAATACTCCGCCGGCGATAATGCAGACGAAGAAGAGACCGGAGATGACAGAGACTCTAGCATCTCCTTTCTTTTCCTCCATCGAAGGTGAAGAAAAAGAGACAATGATCTTTGTTCCGCGGTGCGACCGACAATGTTTTCAGAGTTTTGTGTAATTGTTCTTGTCTCTCCTTGCTATTTTTTTTGTTAGATCGAGTCGAGTTGTTGCCGGAATCCAACAAAGTGGTGGATGGGAATTATGGAGGATATATCCGGTGGTGGGAAGGTTTCAAAACAGAGCGCTGAAAGCGGGGCTGGTTTGTAACTGCAAGGCATTGTTATAAACTGATTAATTGCTTTATTTATGTACAAATCATCTACCTTAAAGAGTTAAAAAGAAATAACGACGACGACGTACTCGACTATATACGGTTAATTATACGATACGATTTTCATGCTCTTTTTGTATTTTTACGTTTTTTTCGTTACTTTTTATTTTATGCAAGACGATATTAGAAGAGAGAAGAAGTGACTGTCCTAAATTTTATGCTTTCTGTCTTGTTATGTTAGTTGAACTAACAGAACTGGTCTCATTTGCTTTTTGACTTTCTAGGACCTTCTACACTTGCCAACTACCTCCAACCAAGAGATGGTGAAGATAAATAATAATGTAGAGAGAATTGTGTTATTAAATAAAGTTTGACAAAACGAATCGTTGAACATTTGGTCTAGTGACACAAAATTTCAACTTTACTCGATGAAGGAGGTCTGAGCCTTTTATATAGGACGTTTCGTTAGATGTGAAATAAAAACAAGGGAAAATTTGAAATAGGTCCAATTTTATAGATTACTTTTTGAAATAGGTCCAATTTTTAGTGACTTTTGACTTTTGAAATAGGTCCAATTTTTAGTTACTTTGGACCTATTTCAAAAAACCCCAACAAACAATTAGATCGCTTGCTAGAACGTTAAAGAGCAAACTCGGCACAACTACATTCCAATTATGGCGGCCACGATACTGGGAAACAAAAGAGGCAACTGAGTGTGCAGCTCCGTAGCATGAATGCAAAGGAACCAAATCCGGAGGAGGTTCTGAGTCCAATTCTCATTGACGAGAAATCGTTGGATAAAAATACACCAAACAATGGAAAGTTTGACAAAAAGAATTAGTAGAGTAACTAAGTTTAGCAGATGTAAGTAAAAGGTTGGAAACTGAATTTTATTTCATTAACAACTTCAAATGGAATAGCTGCAGTATCAAATTTATGATATGTTCTCTCAAATTTTTTATGAACGGATCATATAGAAAACAAGACGGATTTATTTGGAAATCAAATTTACCAAAATATCAACTCGAAACATGAAGGTGACCACAAATACTAAAGTCTTACCAGATAGTGATATAAAGAGAAACATGCTAGACATATCAAGACTCGGCATCAACGAGGAGAGCCCCATCCACCACCACCAGGAGTTAAAATCTGAAGAATTTCCCCTGATTGCAAATCAACAGTGTTCTTCCCGCCAAGATAAACCCTTCGCTTATCTTTTGTGATTAGGAAGTTAGCCCCCCGAGCCCCATCTTTCCCTCCTTTCAACCCCCTTGGTGCGTGAACCCGCCTCTCTGAAAGAATGCTCACAACAATTGGGCGCTTGAACTCTATCTCCCTTACAAGCCCATCACCCCCTCTATGATACCCAACTCCGCCGCTGTTCTCTCTCAGGCCAAATTTATGCAAAAGAACAGGATATCTCTGTTCGAAAATTTCTGGATCAGTCATTCGGGTATTGGTCATATGACACTGCACTCCACTCGTCCCATCCCAAGTTGGACCAGCTCCACTCCCACCTCCGATTGTTTCATAATAACCAAATGTATTATCCCCAAAAGTGAGATTATTCATACAACCCTGTGAACAAGCACAAGCTTGGAATGCAGTAAGCACAACGTCAGTTATTCTCTGAGAAGTGAGAACGTTACCACCCACGACAGCAGCCTTATCACTTGGAGAGAGGAAAGAGCCTGGTGGAATATAGATTTTCACAGGAGCCAAACAACCTTGATTTAGAGGAATGTCAACATCCACCAAGCAGCGAAGACAGTATATAACTGCTGCAGCAGTTACGGCTTCTGGAGCATTCCAATTCCCATATACTTCCGGACTGGTTCCACTGAAATCAAAATTTGCTTCCCCTTTAACAGAATCAATTGTAAGTTTTAAATGAATAACGGATCCATCATCCATGTAATCCTCTTCTTCAATAGTAACAGAACTCTGATCTCCAGAACTAGCCGACTGAGATAAAACTCTAGCAGCAACAGACTTAAGCATTTCTCTCACTGCTTCTTCTGCATTTAGCTGTACATAGGTCATGTAAGCCTGAACAGTGTCCAAACCATACTGCTCAATAAGCTCTTTGATAAGCGTAATTCCCCTCTGGTTCGCAGCAACTTGAGCTCGAAGATCTGACAGATTATCTTGAATCCTGCGAGTGCCTGGGATCTTTTGAACCAATTCATCAGAACAGGGGAATCGAAGAAGTTGAATGATTCCGTCTTCTTGAAAAGTTCCCTTTTCCACAAGCTTGAACGCTTTTATGGCAGCCCCTTCTTCCCATATAGATTTGGAAAAAGGTGGCATGCTTCCAGGAGTAATACCCCCAATCTCTGCATGATGCCCTCTACTCGCCACAAAAAACACCAGCCTTCCATTATCAAATACAGGGGTAACAACAGTTATATCGGGAAGATGACTACCTCCGGCACAAGGATGATTGGTGACCAAAACATCTCCTTCATTCAAGTTGTCACCCCAGTAATTGATCTGCCACCGGACAGTACTGGACATTGCTCCTAAATGCACAGGGACATGAGGGGCATTGGCAACTAGTCCCCCATCAGGTCCAAAGAGGGCACAAGAGAAATCTAGCCGCTCCTTGATATTGGTTGATATGGAAGTTCTCTGCAGGGTCCTTCCCATCTGTTCTGCTATACCCATAAATCTATGATTGAAGATTGAGAGCTGCACAACATTAGCAACTTTGTCCGCTACTTTCACGGTGCTTGGAGTAGAGTCAATTTCAATTCTAATGTTACCATATTTGGTTATTATAGCTTTACAGTTAGGTTCTACTATCACAGTACTATTCCCATTCATGATTATTGCCGGGCCAGGTATGATATGCCCATACCCAAGTTTCTCAAGCTTGTAAAGAGGTGTTTCCTGCCACCCACTCCCAAAATAAACCTTGTAACTACCTTCAATTTCAGGAGAACATGAGGTAGATTCGAGGGGCAGGGGCTTCAATATATTAGTGACTCCTACCCCACGAACCCTAACATCACATATTAGGATATTCCTATTCAGTAATTTAAAACCATACTCCTGCTGGAATAGTTCCACAAAGTCGATATCATAATTACATCCTCTCCCATCTTCAGAAATTCGTTTCTTAACCATGATTGAGGTGTCCGTACCTTCATATCTCAAATTCAGATATGTCTCTGTTGTCATGTTTTCATCTTTAAAACCTTGATCATGCAGCTTCTTCTGTACTTGATTCAATAAAATAGCTTCCCTGTTAGAGGCTTCCTCTACAGATTTAAGACTGTAAACTGCAGAGTACGGCTCCTGTGCGTCTTCTACAACATCTGCCAATCCCATCCCATAAGCACTTAAGATTCCACAAAATCTGTGTACAAGTACTTCTTTCATACCCAATGATCTAGCAATTGCACAGGCATGCTGAGGCCCAGCACCTCCAAAGCAAGCAAGGGCATGGTTCCTTGTTTCATGGCCCTTCATCTCCGTTAATTGCCTTATCGGGCGGCACATAGTCTCATTAGCAACATTTACAAATCCCAGCGCAATGTCCTCTACTGTCATGTCCCTTGCAGATGTATCCTGGCTTTTCCGGTAGGAATTTATTTGGCTCGCAAGGTTCGCAAACTTGTCTCTTGTTGCCTTGATATCTAGAGGTTCATCTTCATTGGGCCCAAATATTGGTGGGAAATAATCAGGAATTACATATCCGAGAACTAAGTTTGCATCTGTAACTGCCAACTCCCCACCTTTCCGGTAACATACTGGACCAGGATGTGCACCCACTGATTCCGGTCCTACCCGGAAAGATCCAAACTGGAACTTCAACTTTGAACCACCACCAGCAGCTACTGTACTTATGTCAAGCTGAGGCGCTTGTATTATGGTACCGGCAATCTGGGTTTCCAGGACTTGTTCATAAGTCCCAGCATAACGGCTCACATCTGTAGATGTGCCACCCATGTCAAACCCAATGAGAGGTTTCTCAGTTTCAAGCCCAAAGAGTGTTTGTGAGTAACCCACAACCCCACCAGCAGGACCAGATAAAACAGCTTTATGCCCTGAAAATCGACTTTCTGGTGCAAGTCCACCATCAGATTGCATAAACAAAACATTCACCTTCTCCACCCCTTCATCGAATTTTGACATAAACCCTGTTAGATACTCTTTAATTACTGGCGTCAAATATGCATCAACACTAGCTGTTAGACCCCGAGGAACAGCTCGAACCATGGGTGTCAACGCTGAAGATAAGGACACATGTCTGAAGCCCAAATTCTCCGCTAGGCTTGCAACTGCTACTTCATGTTGTGGGTAAGTATATGAATGCATTAACACAACAGCCAAACAGCTAATGCCCTTCTTCAACAAACCTTGGAGTAACGGTTTCAATGTTTCTACATCAATAGGCTTTACAACTCTAACCATCTCACCAGAAATCCCTTTAACTAATGATGGTGAAGAAGAAGAATCTTCATTATCACGAGCTAGCTCAACTCTCTCATCAACTTCAATAACCTCCTCATAAAGGTTTGATGGTTTTGATACAGTGAGGTCAAATATCTTGGGACGAGCCTGGTTGCCAATCTGAAGCAAATCACGAAAACCTCGAGTCACACAAAGAGCAATCCTTTCCCCTTTTCTTTCCAAAAGTGCATTAGTTGCTACAGTTGTACCCATTCTTATCCACTCTATCTTATCAGTGGGAATTTTTGAAGCACGGGAAATTTTCTTCCCCGTAAACTCTTCAAGAATCCTCCGAATTCCTTCGACAGGAGCATCGTCGTAATTTGATGGATCTACAGACAAAAGTTTTAAAACCCGTCCATCAGGCTGACCTGGGATCTCAGCATAGACATCAGTGAAGGTTCCCCCTCTGTCAATGCAAAATCTGAGCTTGTTGTCATTGACACTCCCCATTTCGATGCTAAGAGATTAGAGTTGAGAATAACCTACAGAAGAAAAACCAAACAGAACAAAATAGATATGATCAATTG